GAGAGAGTAAGAGAAACACATCACAAAGCACGAAGAAAACACAAAGGAAAACTTCATTTCATCAAAATAATTCCACTAGATAAGTGTTTACAAAATCATAAGATAATGAAGAACACAATGCTTGGTTTTTTTCCTTTTGAAAGAAAAAAGAAAATCTCTCCCATAAAGTCTCCCGCCGATCCATGCGATGCTAGAACATCTCCTTACAAATTCTCTCAAAATCCCCTCTCCAATCTCTCCAAAAGGGTAAAAATCTACATTTCTACTCATAGTCTAAAAATCCTAAACTTTCTCCACACTTTTACTAACATTCCTCTCACCAAAAAACCCTTTTTTTAACCTAAATTCGTTCTTTTAAAGTGTAGGGACGAAGTTTGAAGAGTTGTCACAAGAGTCCTTTCAAAAGCGTCCAAATACGTTGAATTTCGGCCCATAACTGCCAAAAGTCGGTCCATAGTCGTCCCAGGCGCCATCGACGGGCCCAAGGACGTTGTCGGAGAGCTTTTCTGTCATTTTCAGTCTTCTCAGGTAAATCTCGCCGTCGACTCCGTTTTGGGTGTCGTCGGCGAGCAGACTGCGCAGCTCCACCGTTTCGCTCGGTTTGGCTCCGTTTTAGTTATGTTTCGCCTCATTTCAGTTGTGTTGTGTTCCTAACAGATAACCGTACAAAATAAGCATAAAAACAACCTTCCTTTAAAGTGTAATCTCATTCAAAAATATGTAAGAAGTGTAAAAGATATTAAGCATCGAAAGACTTATCGAAAGGCGACAGGGCAAAATTTCATTTCTTGCTCGTTTTTGCTCTAAATTGCACCGTTTTTGCATCTTTTTGCTCCAATGATCATAATTCATCATACCTACAACAAAACATCAAAAATACCCTTCTTTAAAGTGTAATATCATCAGAAACAGTGTAAAATAAGTATGAAAATCTCAACAAATTTTCTTTTGGTCACTACTCCAACTTCCAACCTACCTCCCAACTGCCTAATAGACCTTCGTGCCACCCTAACATGTTGCCCTCCTCATCCAGTTCACCTTCCAACCCCTGCAAGCGCTTCTCTTGTATTCACCCTTGCTATTCCAAGCTGCTAGATCCACCTCGCCGACCTCCACCACCTTTATAATACACCTTAGAAGTGATTGCTTGTTTTTGTATGTTTTGTGTTGTTATTTTCTATTAAGTTGTGTTATAACCCTACTTTTCTATTAAAAAAACTTTGCTTTTGGGTTTCCATTATTTTTCCTACTAGTTTCGGTATCAAGCTGGCAACCCTATGGCTGGAGCTATTGGAGGTCCAACAGACATGCTCCAGATACAAGCTAAGACGGACCATATGGATAAGTTCAAATTCGAGGGAGATGTTTTATATAAGAGGCTGCTTCAGCGAAGGCTTATCTCAGCTGAAGCGTCAGATGAACCACTTGTAAATTATTTCTCTCGAAATAATTTTCGAGTGTAATTCATACATTTTCAAAATAAAATTTTATTTTTATTTCAGTGTTGATGTGATGCCACTTTCTCAAAATTGATGTATGATTTTGTGCAATGATTCTGCTTCCTCTGTTACCCTATATATAAGGTTTATGGGTTGACTTTGGCGATACACTTTCTAGCCTTCATTCACTTCCTCTGCTTTCTCAATTTTCAACTCCCCTACTCTTCATTCGGATGGCTCCCAAATAGCCTTCTCAGCTCTTCAGGTTGATTGCTAGGATTGAAGGATCAACTCTATCATTGAGGAAGGTGGTCGGTTGCATGATTTTTGCATCTTCATAGAGCTTTCAGCCGTCAGAGGGAATGACCGAGCAACTGACAAGTTCAAAAATGACCTCATCTTCTACCAAGACCAATTCAAGTGTTGGAATCCTACCAAGAGCTGCGAGCGATCTTCAACCACTATGTTGTGATCCCCGCTCATATTCTATCGAACTTCATTGCCTCCATAATGACGAAAGTCATCATCTACCACCAAGCGAGAGTTATGCGGTCGAGGAAACTCTTTTCTCACATTTTTTTCATTCCGAGAATACTTGGATGGTCTCGTGTAAGTTAGGCTCCGTTTGGGGCCGCTTTTTGGCAACTTCGCGACCCCGAATCACAAAAATTGACTGTTTGACTCCCAGCGCCGCGGCAGAACGAAGCTAAAGCGAGAGAAAAGCGGACCACGGTATCCACCCCGCGGCCCCAGCTTTCGCCTCGTCAAATATTCTTTTTGACCTCGACGCAAACAAACCCTCGTCCCGCCTATTCCCGCGCCACACCATCTCGCCTTGTCGCGCGCGTTCTTCTTCCTCTACCAGGACTAAACCCTCGGCGCAAAGAAACCCACACCTCGCCATCTTGTGCGGATTCTTCTTCCTCGACCATGACCGAACCCTCGGCGCAAAGAAACATGCAATCGAACACTCTAATCCTTGTTCTTCCTCGGCCAAGACCAAATCCAGGAAGCCTATTCCTGCGCTTCGCTATTTCGCCAAGCCTGGTGTTGCCGCACACGTTCTTCTTTCTCAATCAGGACAAAATCCAGGAAGCACGAGGCAAGTAATCCCATCTTCTTCCCTTATTTTCGAGCTCTCTTCCCCGCTGAGAAGAGTTTTGAAATTTGTTTTGGCGAGTTGAGAAGCTTCTTCTTCCACAACAGTGTAAACTTTTTTGTTTCTTTGTTTTATAAAAGTGTCATGCGATTATGTGAGATGTGGATCATTTATTTTGTTAGTGTTGATAGAATGGAGTGTTAGTGGTCTGTTTTAGAGCAGATCTTGCAAGAGTTTTATCATGGGGGAGGTTGGCTTGCAAGAGTTTCTCATTTTTTTCGATTTTTACTATACAACAAATGCTTGTTGCCTCCCAGTTTCTATGTATTAGATATCTAACCCCTAAATTTTATTTTGTCTACTTTCTAATTGATTTTACTGTTTTATTTAACACTCTGAAGTTTCAATAATTTACTACAGAATAAATTTTGCTTATGAAGCTACAAAAATTTCACTGTTACAGTCTTTTTTTAAATAATTTTACCAAACAAGGGCAGAATGGTCATTTTTCCAGAAACAGCTGTAGAGCAACTATTTTCACACAGCAGCACCAAACAGACAACAAACTTTCCCGCAGCTGTTTCCCTGCAGCAGATTTCTGAAAAGCTAAAAAGCTGCTGCTGCGCAAAACAGAGCCTTAGTTTGTCCGACAAATTTTAGCTCTTGGATTTAGAAAATAAGATATAATGGATTGGAAGCCTATGAATTCTCTTGGGGCTTCTGTGTCCTCGCAAACTATGTGACAAAAATCTGCTTGAAGTTATCAAATGAGGCAAGCAGCCCTGACGATAAAGTGTTGAACTACCCGAGTGTCGACTAACTCAGTGGTGCAGAAAAAAATAACATTTCAATGCATTAGTGATCCTCAACAAGCTTCGGTTAACTTGAAGGAGGATGCGGTCAGTGGGATCAGTCTGAACCTTATAAAACTCTAGTGTAGGGATTTTGAACCTCTCTGGGGGGCTCGACCTACAAAATTTTCTGACTGACGGGGCGCCTCAATGCACCCAACCATTGTTTGTCCGTCGGTGTCGACCAAAACTGTCAAAGTATTGGAAATATCCTTCCCTTCCCAGGAGTAAAGGTGCCCTTCAGTCGTTGGGTTTCGACACTTCCTCTCAGAGGAGTCACTCCCTTGCCCGAGCCAACACCTCTCAAATGGCATCCAACATATGATCCTTCAGCTCTTGGAATTGTTGGTTTAAAAACACTCCAATGTACTTCATGTTACCAATGCCACTATTTTGGTTTTATTCTATGTGTGCTGCTTCACTTCTTGTTTGTGACATGATCAATGCTTACCCTATTATTTAGGATATTGAATCCTGATTTGTCTGTTAATCACACCTCAAGGATTAGAGTGTAAGATATGAGAGAAAGATAGATAAGAAAGTGCACAGTAAAGAACAGTAAAATGTCTTGTGTATCTCATAAAATGATTCATATTTATAAGAGAGGGGGCACAATGTGTGAAGTTACATGTTTGTCCTTGCTTTAATTAGAGTGTTACAAAATATTTTTTGTATTTTACATGTAAGGGTATATGCTTGGCAGCCTTTTGGTGGGCCTCAATTTGGTAAGATCTATTCGATCAGCTGTGTAGAGTTGGGTTACCAGTCGACCTTTGATTGACCTCAAGTCGACACGACTAGCTGGATTAGCTAGACTTTGTCGATCGACTGATCTATTATGATTGTCACCCTTTGATCCTTGTCAAGGAGCTTTTATTAGCTTAGCAATGCTAGATTATTGGGTGGATGGCGAATCACTATAACTCGACAATTAACTCACTCCCAATAAACAGGGTTGAAGAAATGATTTTGACATCTTGTGGCATGTCTACCTCTTGATCCATGGTAAGGAGTCTTTGGGGTGTTGGTTGGTGCTAAAGGAGCCGAGTCATTCCTCAGGTCTAGTCTATCGAAAGGTTGATTGCTCATTTTAATAAGCCTTCTAATGGTGGTTGGCTTGCATGCCACTATGACTTGTCTTGGTTTGATAGGTTCGAGCACAGACCGTTTGGAAGTATTTAGTCTTGTTGCCTTTGGCCCGAATGATTGCATCTAGCCGGCTTTGGTTCTGACCGCTATGTCCAATTAGATAAGTGGGCTTTCTGGTCTTATGCTGGTGAGCTCTCCTTGTTGTACTTCTATGTCTTTTGAATCGTTAGATCTCATCGAGAGTCGTGCTAGCGCATTCCCGATGTACAATATCCAACACCCAAACTTATTTATTTGTATAACACTCAAATATTTAACATCACTTAAAAAAAATATAACTTACTTTTTAGAAGTGAAAACACTTGTCCATGCATAGGTTTGTGAGACCAAAGTGTTATAAATGTAAATATCAAATTTTAGGTGTTAAATTTGTAAATGAATAAAAAAAATGGGAGGTATTCATATAAAGTTCCTGAAAAATCAATGAAATTTCATTTTAATGCAGAAAGTCTAGCCAGAGCATAGTTACTTAAAGCTATAATATACACATTTTCTAATGTACACTTCTCATAAATTCATGCAGTGATTCACATGAATCAGGAGAGATCTCTCACAAATAAGAAAACAGAAAATGATAATAAATAGAAGCTGTCTAAAAAGATTAAATGGTCGTAATAAGAAAAACAAATAACAAGTTAATTAGGTTAGTACCAAATGATTTAAAATATGCCCGGCTCTCTCCAGGGTAATCTGTTAAGCGCATCAATAATAGCCCTGCGAAACGAATCAAAATGGATGATGAAGGAGGAGACATGGCCACCAGTTACCCACCTCACTTCTGAACCAGGCCATGCCTTCTGAAGCTCCAGAACCGAGTCTTTGGGAATATAACCATCATTCTGAAGTTAAAAATGATTATCACAAGACAAGTTTATTTATTTCATATGCTACACTATGTAAAATAAATAAAAGTTGAGATTTTGATGCTACAAAAATAAGAATAGATGGATTCAGATAATAGAAGTATAAGCAGGTTAGGAGCTGAATAAAGTCAGGATCATACTTTGCATGTTTACATGTTTGTTTAGAAGTGGGTGTCTTTAAGAAATATATTCATAAAATATTAAACATTGCAGTTCTTACTACAGAAGCAAACCAATACAAACGTGCTTCCAATTTGATTTCCTACTATTTTATCTTTGTTTATGAAAGAGTAAAGTGTCAAAATGGTCCTCTGATTTTTTACATATCGTCATTTTAGTCCCAACATCTATAAAAAAGTCAGACTCTTTTAATAGAAGTAGTAGTCCTCTAAGACTAAATTGACATTTTTATAGACTCTAGGACTAAAAATGACCACTACAAAGAGTCAAGAAACCATTATGACACTTTTCTCATTTATGAAAGCATAAAGATGAACAAAGATTAATGTATTTTAACATGTTTACAGAAAATGAATAGAACCAGCATGAGAATTGAGGACATGTTAAACACTTACTGTGGCAGCAACAAGTATGACAGACTCAGGACTCTTAGGAATTGGGAAGCGTGTAACATCAGTCAATGACAGTACAATTCGGAGGCGTTCTTGAACTTCTTCGAGAGTCATTCCAGCCTTCTCCGCATCTTCTCTCAATGCATCCCATGCAGTTGCGTGCTTCAAAACCCCTTCGCAGAAAGCCACCACAGCAGAGTGCGGGGCGAGGAATGGCAAAGTTGCTATCGGAGAAGGATGGAGAGATCCAACCATCGCAGCATGCACGCCCCCTAGAATTTTGTAAAGCGCATTAGAAAAGAAACTTTGAATCTACATGCATATTACCCAATTACTATGTATTTACATATCTAACACCTAAACTTATGTTTTACAATTATACCACCGAAATCTTTCATATCATGTAAGAAATACCATCATTTTAACATTTAAAAAGTGAAATAAATATTTTCATGCATAAGTAAGTAAGGTGGCATGTATGTCAAAATTGATGTGTTCGTGTTAGATATGTAAATACTAAGAATTGAGTGGCATATATGTAAATCTTCCTGAAAGAAGAATCAGCAGTTGCCAATCTAAGAATACGTCAAAACGAACATATGGAAAGTATCTGGCTGTGGCAGTGCTCACTTACCCATGCTAAGTCCACAAATTCCCATCTTGCCAAAACCACCCTCCACATCCAACCAGTACAAAAGACTCCTAGCTTCCTCAATAGTGGCTCTTCCCAGTAATAACAAATCACTGACACATAGAAGTTTCGCTCCCCGCTGCAGTTTTGGTCGCCGATTTCCATAAAATGGGCTGCAGCAAGCTTGCTCGAGATTGTAAATTAACATTTACAACAGTTTTGATTTATAAACCCGATTAGAAATTTAATTAATGCTGTAAAATAATAAGCATTTGGTTTGACCAAAGAGAAATGATATCACCTCTCAAGCACCATTGTTGCTATGTTTTCCTTAAGTAAAGGGCCTCCAAGACGCAATCTTCGCTCAAAGGTATGATCGCCAGTGCCTATTCAAACCATTGTTGGAGGAGGATCAGTTATCAAAGAAACATTTAGAGGAACAGGAGCAGAAAACCCATCAATGAAATCATAAAAAATGGCTACAACTATTGACGGAACCAAGACTTAAGGAGAGGGGTGGCGAAATTTAAAATTAAGGGTTGCAGGCATTTAAGTAAATGTTTCATCTTCTTAAAAAGAGAACTATTATAAATATTATTATTAAATTAAAAGTATAGTTAAAATTAAATTATTATTAAGTATTACAATTTAAAACGTAAAAATTTTAGTGTATTATATGACATTAAAGAGTCTAGTAAAAATCTAGGGATCGTCGATGCCTCCCCCAGCCAGCCTTTGATTTCACCACTGGCTATAACGGCACAAGGTATGAGATCCATGCTCCTAACAAGCAAGTCACCAACCACAACCCCTTTCAATTGCTGACACAGTGTACTTGGCTAACTATTGCGTATACGAAAAACAAGGTAATTATCAATGTGCTTATCCAAATTATTTAGGGCCGGCTCTATGAATCATCATCCTCCATTCAGCCTTGTTGAATACTGCATGGCATATTAAAACTATCTGCACAATTCTTTTTGGGCAACTTCTAACAAAGTAGATGCCATAATCATAAAAATCTATATAATCTTCACGTAAATAGGTACTAATCCTGTTTTCTCGAATTCAACTGCGACACATCCATCTTACTGATATGGCAATTGTATAATGACGTTAATTCTGAGAATTAATATTAAATGAACTTGAAAATTATAATCAACATTAAAACTTTCTCAAAAATAAATAAACTTATTTACATATACATTGTAACAAAATGAAAAACACTGAGCTATATGACATTCTGATGCGACACACTGTTACAAAGTAACTGCACTACACTTGCAAACCAAACATGAATAATCACAACGAAAAAAATTAACTGAGAAAATTAAAAGCAAAACTGCATGTTTTATTTTGAAATGTTTTCAATTTGAAAAGCACCATGCAGTAAGTGCCACGGGGGGTGTCACTTAGCTAAGCCGACTCCTGGGTCAGGTCAGGCTCGGTTCGATGTGTGGCTCGTAAATCAACCTCAATTAGCTAAAAAACCAAGCTCAAGTTAGCCCTGACTCGATTCTTTAGCTCGTAAGCCATTAATATAAAATATACTCAAATATATATTAAATTCAAAATTTATCTTTAAATTATTAAAAATATTTAAAAGAAATAATATTTTACATTATATATCAAATAATTTCTTATTATTTATATCTAAATTGCTCATTATATTTATCATATTATTATAATACTAATTTAAATTGATATTGTTTTCTCTCTTTTATAATAAGCAAGCAAGTTCAAACTCATAATTAAACTCAAGCATGAGCTCAAACTTGATTTAATTAATCAAGATCAAATTCAAGCCGAAGTGACTTGAGCTCAACTCGACCGTTTACACCCCTAACAATCACACAATTTGGTTGAATAGTTAAAACTAGGCCCATGTAGCTTGAATGTCATCCTATTCAGAAAGACAACCAAAATAAACTTATTTCAGACACAATTTTTGGCCATTATCTAAGAAACTAGCTCACTTCTTTTATCAGGGTCAAACTCCATGGAGTACTATAAGAAGAGAACTTGATTTTGGTGCTTTCGTAAGATGATGGATGAAATTATGATGTTAGTTAAATGTAAAATTTGGTTTTCAGAAGCGTCCTACAAATTTTCTGAAATGTGAATAAGTTTATCCCAGATCTGCTTTACGGTCTTCGTTCTTAACTTCTAGACCATCCTCCATAGGAATAGTAATTTCCTTCCTAAAACTTGCATTAAGCCAAGACAATTAAGAATCCCTCCCACTTCTAGCTCGACCAAGATGAGATTTTACCTTCTTCTATTTTCACCAGCTTGCAAGCCAAAGGAGAGCGAAAAAATTATGTAATAAATCTAGTAGGTCTTTAAATATAATTCTTGGCAGAACAAACGCCAAAAGGAACTGATTTTTTGGGATTGGAAGTTGATCACTTTCTAAAAACAAAAAAAAAAAGGAGGATATTAAGAAGATTTACATACATACCACTTAATTCTTATGTATTTCCATATCTAACACCTAAACTTCAAGTTTTACTTATAAGCCACTTTACCTATGCATAAAAAAGAGTATTTCACTTTTTAGAAGTTAAAATAGTGGTGTTTTTTATGTGAAAGATTTGAGTGGAATAAATGCAAAAAAGTAAAATTTAGGTGTTAGATATGTAAATACATAGCAATTGGGTGGTACGTATGTAAATGCTCCTAATAATTAATACACCATATGATGAAAGCTTTTCAGTCAGATAAGAGTGAACTAAAGCTTCTAATCAGCAGTATTTGGATTTAGCCTAGAATTCCAATAATGCAACCATACAGAAGCATCCACAACTTTTTAAAACACAAAAAGGGAGGGGAAATTTACATATCTAGCACACAATTCTTATGTATTTGCATAACTTATACCTAAACTTTTATATTTACATACATAGCAATGTGCTTTAAACCTGTGCATAATTTCACTTTTCGAAAGTGGTAATAATGGTATTTCAATGTGATATGAAAGATTTGAGTTCTGTGTGTAAAATTTAGGTTTGAGAAATGTAAACACATTAGAATTGTGTGCGATGTATGTAAATAACCCAAAAGGGAAGTATTAGAGAAAATAATAAAATTACCTGCTAAGTGAACAACACAAGCCATTTTATGTGGCGGTACGGATTTTGGCGTAAGGAGAGCAATCCGAGCGGTATGGCTCTCTGGGGGCAATGCATTTATAAGTTGCTCATCACATGGAGTACTGAATATTCCCTCTTTAAGGCAAGCATTTTTTGATTCCCATAGTTGTTTCCAAATTGGCTGAACCATCTTAGGTGGCCAATTTTGGCCCACAGCCCCTGGAAAGAGTTGCTTCAGCATGCTCTCAAAAAGTTCGAGTTTGGCTGCTCCCCATCCTCGCGAGAAAAAAGGAGTGCTTAATTTGGTCCGGTGCATGCATGCACCATAAATGTGATCCAACAAATAATGGAGAACTCCAATATTTATAGATACCATCTGGTTACATCAACTAAAAGAATAGATTAAGAGTTATTATCCATCAGTAGTAACAGCTAAAATTCTGTAACAAAAAATGAAAGAGAAAAAAGAAAATTCTCTTTTAGTTCAATTCTTTATTTATACACACACACACATATATATATTTCAAGTAAGCAAAAAAAAAAAAAAAAGGAAGTATTAACCGCTTTCAACAAAGATCAGTCCAAGAATAAAATAAAGTTCACTCCAGAAAAAAAAATAATAAAAATCCTCCAAGCTAGCCCTACTATACAATATAAGTTATTCCTAGTACAATCAGGGACGGAGTTAGAAAATCTTTTGTGGGGGCACGAGCTAACAACTGTAGAAATATTCTCAATATTTTTCATCAAATTTAGACAGTCACATACCTTGACAATCTCAATGGCAAAAAATTACATGAATACAAAATAGATTTTGATGTATTATTTTTACTATATAACCTTTACAAAATTATTAAATTTGATGATTATACATTTATTAATTAATTTTTAAAAAATTAAAAACTAATCAAATATAAAAAAAAAATTAGATTAAAATATCCTAACTAATTCTTATCTTGTAATAGTTTTAAAAAATATTGACATATTTTATAGATAATGATATGAAAATTTTCAAAATAAAATACAAATATTTTTCATAATAGTTTATTATTTTATAATTAATTTTATGTTAAACATATTCTTAAATTTATGTTTTTATTCTTTAAATTTATTATATATATGAAGGTAATTTTTTATTTAATCTTCTTTGAGGATTTTTATACTGATTATATGTAAAAAATAAACATCTTAATGTTATAATATTTTACTATAAATTTTATAATCTCCATCTTTAATGATTTTACATTATCTGTCAATAAAAATGAATTTATATAGTTTTTAAATAGAATAGAAATATATGTTTTAAAATTTTATTAAGTTGTTATATATCTAATAATACTAATGAAAATTTAATATAAAAATTAAAAATTTCTACTTAAAATAATAAAGAAGAATTTTTATCCATAATTTTTACATTTTTATATATTTAAATTTAAAATGCTTAACAGAATTTGTTTTTGTTGATTTCATAAATTTTGATTTAAAATCAGAGGATTCACAGCAATTTTTGAAAGAGTTGTTTGGCTACAAATAAGAATTAACTGTAAGTAGGATTTACAACATACCACCCAATTGTAATCTATTTTCATATTTAACACCTAAACTTTAATTATTACATTTCTACCACCCAGATCTTCAAATAATATCAAAAATATCATTATTTTAATTTGTAAAAAGTGAAGTTTAGGTGTTAGATATGTAAATACAAAAGAAATGATTGGTATTTATGTAAATCTGTTATCATTTTAACCATCATGATTATAGCTAGCTTGGAAGGCAATGGGGGTTCGTTGTGTACAAAGACTCCAAAACTCCCATCCTTCTCCTTCGGCCCCTCTCCAACACTCCTACTCGAAACCCTTGAGAAAGGTAACCCTCGTTTTCACCCCCTTCCTCCAACCATCCTTGACATGCTTGAGCTTAACTAAATCATTTACATCTATTGTCCAACAAGATTTACTAAATCTTGGATTAAAAGCAAGACGGAGGAAAACGAGATTTAAAGATATCATTTTTGCTGTTGGACCTAAATTTGGCTTACATCCTGCTCAAATCCTGCTACCAAACAACACTCTTGACTTATGAACCGAGAAACGATTGGGTCACCAAAGTATATTGGTTGGTTATCTATTGGTAAATATTCTTAAAAGAAAAAAAAAGGCAATATAGCAAAGAAATTGCACAGCAAATCTTTATAGGACCTAATCAAAGAATAACAGTTAAAAATGCACAAAGAAGTTTCTTATTATGTTCTCAACAGTGTTTTCAAAAAAAAAAAAAAAACAAATGTTCTCAAAATAACATGGCTAGCCAATGTCTGAAGCACTAGCTGCAAACATTGTTGCTTGCCCAAGAAAAATGGGGAGTTAAAAAAAGTAAATTATAAAAAAATTTAATCTTAATTACGAGGAATGTTTTTAAAAAGTATAAAATGACATTCATCATATTCAATTATGCTCGGTATAACAATGAAATTTTAATTTGAAAAATCTAACTGAGAAGATTATTTTAAATGAGCAAAGTCAAAGGGTGTGTTTGGAACAGAGGCGGTTTTATGAAATCTCAGTTCAAAAATTGTTATAAGAATCTGATGTTTAAAAGTTAGTGTTCCAGAAGCACTTCTACTTGAAAAATTCTATTTTAAAAGTGTTGAATATGGATAAATGACTGAAATAATCTTTTGTTTATATTATATAGAATTCATTGATTTTATAACTCTTTATGATTCTCATATTTAATTGTATCGTATGAATTCTAAATTGAGGGTATACTCAATCCACTTAGCAAAATATGTCCAATAAGATTATTAATCAAAATTTCAATCAACTAAGTTCATTCTCTATGATTTTCATATTTGAAACTGTCCCCTCTAGCTTATGAGTTTATATTAAAAGAAATTTCACAAATCCAAGTACAGTGTAAGAAATTTCAATTCAGGGTACACTTTCGAGCAGCAAAGTATTAAATCAGATGAACAGAACCAGCATTAGAACTAAACTCCATAATTGAAAACTTACAGCAAACCGTTCTTCTATGGGCAAGGACAGATAAGCCAATCAAAACCAAAGTAAAATTTAAGGCACCAAAAATTGCAGCCACATATTCTCAACAGTAAAAAAAATGGAAGAATGTAACAATTCTCTTAAAAGCCATTCCAAAGGAAAAAAAAATACCAATGGAATAGAATGAAATTGAAGAAAGAAAAATCAAGCAATTGTTTGGAAAACTCACGAGATCTTACCTGGGTCTCTTGGCAACAGAGAGAATTGTGAAGCTCTGCTCCAGTCACGAATGATGCAGAGTTCTTGTGAGTAGGATGGATGCGAACGAGAGCTAGGGCACAATCTTCTTGCGAAGAAGAGAGGAGGTGATACCAAAGTTAACCCAAAACCCAAAAGGAAAATAAAATTTTATTGCTCACAAAGACAAGGATTACAATCAAAGCCACAAAATACGAAAGAAAATACAACACAACACAAGGTCTCACAATGGCGCAGGGTGGACGGCAGGGTGGCGTGGAGAGGGAAAGGGGAGGAATAGGTGGCTGGAATGTTTGGGAAAACGGTTGGAGAGATAGGAAGGGAATGTCGGCTGGCCAATTCAGTGGGTGAACAGATCACGGGAAAACCCATGATACAAATGCTAGAGGAGGAAGTGACGGGAAGGCTGGGAATTAGAGTTTGTGGTTGGGCAAGAGAGGTTTGGGGTGCAGGTGGAAGCAAGGAGTGCGGTTGGAGGGGTAAAGTTGCTGCAGGTGGAGGCCCGGGATGAAATTACGATAACAGCAGAGTGTGTGTTAGGCTCTTGCGAGCATGACAGGGGTGAAGGGAATTAGCGGCTGGGAAACAAGATGGATGGGAGTGTAGG